GAGGAAGATCCAGGCCCAGCGATGATTCATTTAAAGACYTACTGATTTTGTGCTTTGGGCTAGGGGCTGAGGACACCCAGGTAAGCTAGGCAGACTGGAGCATAGTCAACAGAAAGGCCAAAAAAGGCAGTCCATTCCCGCCACCCCTCTCTTCCCTAGGGAGACCATCCTTTTCTCTTTGCCAGAGTCAGAGGGCTCTGGAATTTCCCAGGGAAACCCTCACCACTTGGAGGACTACAGGGGAACCCCACTCACCTCCCGATCAGGGATCACAGAACTCTGGTGGCTAACCACAGCACCAATCTGGCTGCTCTTGGGGCGGGAGTGGAAGTAGCACTCAGCCTCCTCCTCAGGCAGCTTCTTCACGGAACCCTCCACACGCACCTGCTCAGGAATGAACCCTGGCTGGGTGGCTTTCGATGCCGATGGCCCTTCCTACCAGCACAGGACCTGATTCTATGTGTTCTCTTGGCTGCCTCTCCTCTCCTGCCCCAGATAGACCAGCTGACTCAGCGTTGTGTGAGAGGCAGGGTGCCCAAACATAGGCAAGATATGTGTCCAGTTGGGGAGTCTTCTTTAGGCTAATCCATAAACRTGTTCACACGAACTCAGTTCACCCCAGGCTGTCCTGGGAACACTCACTTACCTGGCGGTTAAGGGGCTCCCAGTAGAAGACAAGGGAAGCAAAGGGATTAGAGTCCTGGAAATGAAAGAGAATTCATGGAAAACCATCAGGACAGTGAGAAGATACTTCTGACATGCAGGGTGAAGGCAGGAAATATGCAGCATGCAGGCCCCCAGCAGATGCATTCATGGTTTTATCATTTAAACCCTCAAAGATAGGCCTACCGTCCATCACAGATGTGGAGACAGGCTCAGAGAGAGTGTCAGAGTTCACATACTAAGTGGAAMAGCTGGGTTTAAGCCACTCTGACTCCAGAATGAGATTTGGGCTGGCATCAGTGGTGCATGCCTGTAATCTAAGGAACTTGGGGAGGCTGAGACAGGAAGATTGCAAAATTCAAGACCAGCCTTAGCAGCTTAGTAGGGTCCTAAGCCACTCAGTGAGACCCTTTCTCAGAAAAAAAAAAAAATTCTAAAAGGGGGTCTGGGGTTGTGGCTCAGTGGTAAAGTGCTTGCCTAGCACATGTGAGGCACTAGGTTTGATTCTCATGTATCATATGTAAAAATAATAAAATTAGAAAATAAAGGTTCACTGGCAACTAAAAAAAAAAAAAAGTCTAAAAAAAAATTCTAAAAGGGTGGGGACTGTAGTTCAGTGGTTAAGCACCCCTGGGTTCAATCCCCCGTACCAAAGTCAAAACAAAATAAAAACCAAAATAATAAAAAAAATGAGTTTTGGCTATTTATGTCAGTCATAGATTTGTGAGAAATGCATGTTTGGCTGGCATGGACTTAGGTAGGATTTCTCATTTTGGACTTATTCACTGAGTGCATACAGAATGCCAATTTTGTGTCTGACACCATGAGAGGGACTGCAGGTAAAACAGATAAAAAAGGGCTGGGGATGTGGCTCAAGCGGTAGCGCGCTCGCCTGGCATGCATGCGGCCCGGGTTCGATCCTCAGCACCACATACCAACAAAGATGTTGTGTCCGCCGAGAACTAAAAAATAAATATTAAAAAAAATTCTCTCTCTCTCTCTCTCTCTCTCTCTCTCTCTCTCTCTCTCAAAAAAAAAAAAACAGATAAAAAAGATGCAGCTTCCTCATTATTAAATATAACTACAATGCATCTTTTAAAAAAGTTTTTTTTTAAAAAGGATGCAGCCTCTATACCCATAGTTACTGTTTAGCAGAGGAGACACATATTAGTCAAACAATCACATAAATAAGCACATAGTCAAACTGGAAAAAACTGGCAGAAAGGAAAGTTGCAAGTTAAAATGACAGCCAACAGCTTCAGAGCTGACTCGGCTGACTCTCCTGAGGAGGCAACAACACTTGGGCTGAGACCTAAAGGAACAGGTGTTAATTAGGCGTCTATCAGATGATAGAGGTAGGGGTGGAGAAAGAGAATTGCAAATGTAAAGGCTTCAGGTGGAAGGGACCCTGAGCTCGGGAGCTGTGGACAGGGGTGCAAGGCATGAGAAAGCCATGCAGGCAAGGGTGGAGGCTGGGCCCACAGGTCCTTCGAGGATTGACCCTGAACCCTCACCAGCTCTTTTCCTTTTCGACTCTCGTAGTTAGTGAAGAAGCGGAAGCCATCCTTGCCAAAGCCCTTCAGCAGCAACATGCGGGCAGAGGGTTTTCCGTCTCTAGGGGCACACAGCAGAGCGCTGTAGTGAGAACCCAGTTCACTGTTCTTGCCTTGATCCTCCTTCCCATAAGATGTCTGAGCATCCACTCTGTTATGCCCCCTTATTTGGCTCTCAGGCAACCCACTCCCATGTGCCCCTAGGGACTTGTCCTGGTGGTACAAATATGACACCACTGCCTGGTGCCCTGTCATAGACTGTCTATAAATCCATATGTTGAGGCTCTAACTTCCAATGTGACTATATTTGGAAACAAAGCCTTTAGGGAGGTCATTAATGTTAAATAAGGTTGTAGGGAAGGGGCCCTGATCCAATAGGACTGGCATCCTTGCAAGAGGAGAGAAAGACAACAGCGCTCTCCCATGCATATACAAAGGAAAGCACGAACACAGTGAAAAGGCAGCTCTCTATAAGCAGGTAAGACACAGACAGGTCTTACTAGAAAGCAAGCCTGACAGCACCTTGATTTTGGACTTTTCGCACCAAGAATTGTGAAAAATAAACTTCTGTTGCTTTAGCCACATAGTTCTAGTACTTCGTTATGGCAGCCCTAGCAAAATAAGGCCCTGAGAACAGGGACCAACAATAATGCCACCACCCTGTGCCTAGGGGTCATAGAAGGAGCTATAATATCAGGTCCTCTGCATGGAGCTCTGAGGGATACCCAGAATAGTATAAGAGCCCTGCCTTTAAGCCCTGCACTTTAGTGAGGGGGTAAAAGATGAATTAAATAAGAAGTTTTGAGATGTGCCAAAGGGTATATGATTGATTGTCAAAAGTGAATGATAAGAGCCAAGCACTGAGCTAGGATTCATGACAGGGACAGAGCTCCTGGGGTGACCCCATCTTGAAGGGCAGATGGGGCTTGGGCAGATGGGGAGAGAGACAAGGGGTTGTGTATGGGTACATCAAGGGCAGAGATGTACAAGGAACTCCCTTTAATCACTGAAAGGGAATTTAGTGGCCTCATTTTTGGTTTACCAGTAAGGTTCGGTTTATAGAGGCCCAAAGAGGATAAGTGACTTGTCTATGTCACACAATATTTTAATAACTGAGGTGGAACAATAAATTTGGCTTTCTAATTCTCCAAATTCATCTGTACCCAACCACATGAAGCCCAGAGATATGCCCACCTGGTGCAGGTGGCCAGACACATGGCGTTGGCTTCCCCAATGTCAGGGCATTGAACAGCCTCTTCAAACCAGGAAGCAAACTGCTTAATGGGGTCCAGAGAGGTCAGATGAGTTTCTTCAAATGTCTGGGAAGGAAGTTTTATTTCATTTAATAGACACATATAGTGCTTATTATTTACCTGGCACTGATCAAAGAATATTTTCTGTAATACTGGGGATTGAACCCAGTGGTGCTCTACCACAGAGGCACATCCCCAATCCTCTTGTTTTTATTTCTTATTTTAAGACAGGGTCTCATTAAGATGCCCAGTCTGGCCTTAAACTTGCAATTCTCTTGCCTTAGCCTCCTGAGTTGCTAAGATTGTAGAATGACACTACTTGCAGCTCTTTCTGTCCTCATAACAATGACTTCACAACAAAAAACAGTACCCAGGAAGTAAGTTCCATGCCCTATTTTACAGGTGAAGAAACACATACACAGTCTAAAAGACTTGCTGGATCCCACAACTAGAAAGGAATGAATCAGGGTCTCAGGATGTCAAAACTCTCTGTGTATCRGAATCACCTGGGGAGCCTAAAAAAAGGATTCCTGTGTTATCCACCCCACAAACACATGATAAATTTTCATGCAAATAGGTCTGAGGTTTAATGAGATACTACATTTTTTAACAAGCATATCTGGAAATGCTCGCATGCAACCAGATGTGGTAACCATAACTCTGGATTCCCGGTTCCAAGATAATTCTCTTGTTCCCAATCCTGAGAAGGGAAAGAGGTAAGCAGAAAGGAGGTGCTGAAGGTAAGTGCTAAGATCACTTATTTAACTCCCTCCTCYTTATAAGCTGTTTTATCACTGTTATAACACTTATCACTGTTAAGTAAGTACTTTATAGGTGAGGAAACTGAGTCCCAGAGAGGATAAGTGCATTGCCCAAGGTGACAGGCACATCCAGTAGATGGATGAATTCCATCCCTGACGGGCTTCAGAGTTTGAGCTTTAACTAGGATGAGCTTCCTCTTGACCCACCTTCATTCACGTCTCCCCCAAGTCCCTCCCCGATGGTCGTCTCTGAATCCCGCTTCTCCCATCAGGTGGCCCCTGCAAACCCCTCCCCTCCGTGGATGACTCCGCGGCCCCCTTCTCCCGCCCCTGCGGGAGGCCCTGCCCGTGCAGCGGCACCTCTCGGTCCCCGCGGTAACTCTTGCGCATTGGTCCCAGGTCCATGGCAGCGCCGCGGCTACACAGGTGGCGGAGGTAGCCCGGCCACTTAGCAGGTCGTCCAAACGTCACAGTGACGCCCCGCAGCCCGCACGTCATGGGGACCGCTGGTCATGTGATCTGGCGTCGCCTAACCCTGGTTCCGTTGGGTTCGGAACCAATTTCTCAGCCTGGGCGTCTAACTCGGGAAGGAAGGATTTGCTAGCGACCCAGATAAGCTAACAGGTACTAAGTCCTCGGAGCCAATGGGTGTCCAGGATCGGAGGAGGGAGACAGACACGGAGAGGTCATTGGTTGGAGTTTTCCAGGAGCATGGCCAATTAGAGAGCGAAGAGAGGAACCCAGGGCCCAATGGGCAGCGCCTCCGGGGGCGGGAGCAAAGAGACAAGGAAATGCTGTCACCGCCGTTAACACGCACGTGGAGGTTTGTTAAAGGTATAGGTACTGCAGTAGCTCAGGTGGGGATCGGGGGAGGAGTCCCTGGGGGCTTGAGGAGAGTGGCCAGTAATAAGTGGGAGCCCCATCGTAGGTAACTGGAAGCCAATTTTGGGCAGGAAGTACCACCTAGGAGGGGAGGTTGGTGGACTGGCAAAGAAAAAAATGGAAAATGGAATTAGGGGTCTGACTCCGAGGCAAGGTGAATTGGGACACACAGAGAAAGGGGCAGTCTGATTGGAGGAAAATTGTGGCTTGAGAGTGGGAGAGGTTGAAATAACTTTTATGGATCATACACTTGCTATGCAGTGGGGATGGGGGCTGGAACTCTGAGGTCTGGGGAGGTGCACTGGGGTCTGGAAGAGACTGGGATGAGAAGGGAGACCACTGAATGGGAAAGAAAAAGAGGGAAATTTGGGGTCAAACCATCCAAGATCAGACCCCTCTACCTCTTCTAGATTTGATCTCCCTCCCTCCTGCCTCATATCTCAATTCTGCTGTCTTTTTTCCATGATACCATAAACAATGGTATCATGATACCCTGTCCAATTGCACCAAAGTTTATACTAGCCAGAGTTCTGTTAGATGAGAGGTTGTCACTTTCCCACCTCTCTCAGGCCTCTCCCATCTTGGCTGTTTCCCGTTTTTCACATTTTGCCTTTCCTAGGTAGTAAGGATAGTCCTTAGGTCAATGCCAGCAATATCCAAGGATATAGGGGAGCAGGTGACTGTGCAAAGCCACTTCCAGGCTCGTACATAAGACTGAGAAATGGGAAACCTGCCAATGCTCATCCCAGCTTTGACCTGGCTGGGGCAGCCTGGGGTTGAGGCCACCATCATCTGGAAGGTTGCTGCAAGAGCCATCTAGGCAGGCCCCTAGGACTGTGCCAGGTAAGAGGGACTCCCGGTCTGCCTGGGTGTCTGCATTGGATACCTGTCAACCTTTATTATGTATTCATGGCTTGAGCCATATAGAATCTGGAAGACACATTTGCTGCAAAGATATTAGACCATCTCAAGACTTGATTTAATCTTTGGATTCTCCACTGGTTAGATTTTTTTATTCCATCATGATTGTTGATTTTTGATTCCATCTAGATTGTTGACTAATCTTACTTTTTTGTTGAAGTTGCCTTTCCAAATGTCTTCCCCAACCCCCAATCCCCTGCATGTGAACCTGTGTAAGCAATAATTAGTATCCTTCATGGGGCCATGCTCTTTTTGCACTCCTGGGCTATTGCTACCCTGGATCTGGATTCTAATGGGCACCGAGATTAAGATCATTTGTGTAGTTTGCTTAAAAGTCAAGAACTGCAGGGCACGGATGGTGGCACATGCCTGTAATTCCAGCTACTCTGCAGGTTGAAGCAGGAGGATTGCAAGTTCAAGGCCAGTCTGGGCAGTTGAGCAAGACCCTGTCTCAAAATAAAAAATAGGAGGGGCCRGGAGACGTAGCTCAGAGTTTAATTCCCTGAACAGCAGAATAGTTGCAGGTATTTAACAGATGTTTCCATAAGATAAAGGGAAGCAAAACAAGGGGACAGACAGTCCAGAAGCCTCATAAAGCGAGCAGATGTTGGATTTGTCTTAACAAGTGTTTGCCAGATGGACAATGAGACAGGCATTCAGGAAGAGGGAAGATGGTGAGTAAAGGCATGACACCTGGGGAAAGGGAGGACTGCTGCTGGAGCCTGGCAGTCAGAAACAAGCCAAATGAGCCGGCAGAGCCCTGTGTTGGGTGCTGGAAGACTCCCCACGAAAGTGGTGAGGGCCAGGCTTTTTTTTTTTTCTGCACTGGAAATGAAACCTAGGGGTGCTCTACCACTGAGGTACATTCCCAACCCTTTTTATTTTTTGATAAAAGTTTGGCTAAATTGCCGAAGCAGGCCTTGAATTATAGGCATGTGCCACCAYGCCCATCATGAGCCATGCTTTTAATACACAATGATTCTATATTGAACCAGAGTCTAATTCGGATTATTTATTATTTAAGACCAGATGGAGAGAAAAAAGGGCTAGATTCTGACAGCCTCTCTCTTCCTTGACAATTATCGAGGAAATTCACGGCTCATTCCTTTTTTTAAAAAATTTTCCCCCTTTGTCTTGAAGATAATAAGTAGGCTTGTGTTGTGCTTTTCTGTTTAGTTGGATTTGGTGTCTGGATCACTCAGCAGCCTGGCTGCTGGCTGTGACTGCTACTTATGCAACCCCTGGCAAGGGTTTTCTGAGTGGGAGAAATGAATTTTTTATTGGTGCTGCTTTTTCTCTTCTTCTTTCTTTTTTTTTTTTTTTTTTTTTGGTACTAGTTATTGAACCCAAGAGCACTTGTTCTACCACCGAGCTACATCCCCAGCTCTTTTTATTTTGAGCCGGGGTCTCATCAACTTGCCCAGGCTGGCCTTGAGCTTTTAATCCTCCTACCTCTCAGCCCCTTGAGTTGCTGGGGTTATGGGCATGCACACATGCCAGGCTGGTACTGCATTTTCTTTAACACTTTGCCATATCCCCACACTTTGTGGTATTATTAATCTTTTCTTGTGAAAGGCTGAAGTGAATAGAAAATAAAATTTCATTATACAGAGAGTAATACTGGTTTCTCAATATGAAACAAAAAAGTCTGTGTGTTGGGAACTATGCCTTGCCTGTTTTTTTCTAATGCTTTTGCATTTATTTTCTTAAACCATGTTTTTCTCTACTTATCTGATGGGATTACTAGGTTTCCGTTTTATTTTATTGATTGGATTTATGTTTTGGAACCTGCCTCTGGTGACCAAGTGGATAATTGACAAGGCAGGGTAAGACTGGTGACAAGGAGATGCTGCCCAGTGTTGTTGAGGTGGACACTGGGGCGGGCATGGCTGATGCATGAATGTTGGGAGGGAGTGTGGAGAGGAGAGATCATTCACTGTTTTTTGGCAACATGGGTGGTGCTGCTAATTCATTGGGTCGTGTTGGAGAAGGGAGTTTGTGGGGAAAGATGAATTCCTTATCATATCTGTTGAGAGTCACCCATGTTTGATTAGGTTAGATAGTAGAGTCCGGAGCTTAGGGGAGAAGAGGTCAGGCACTATGTCACAAGTGGAGATACAGGGACTAATGAGATGTTTGCTGAAGAAATATAGCCTTGTGAAGGGCAGAGGTGAGAAGTTACAGTCAGGAACCAGGAGGCAAGAGGTAAATCTTTAAATGAGCAGCTACTTCGTGTCTAAGAGAGCAAAAGTTTTTGTTCATGAAGAAGCCATCACTTCATGAAACTGGACCGATTTAGGCATCATGAGCCTCTGAGGTGACACTTGAAGCTATAGGGAAGATGAGAATGTCTGAGAAGAAGGGAGAGGACGTGGGAATGTTAAACACTGTGGGGAAGGGGAGAGGTCCAAACTGTAATGATGAAATAGAGACTCAACTTGCCAGCAGGAGCCCTATGACCAGCACAGGGTWGGAGGCCCGGGGCTCAGGATATTTCTTACCCTTGCGGTGAACTTACCTTGGAGCCTGGAGGTAGGGACACCAGGACACACAGAATGGTGGGTGCTTGGTTCCTTGCCAGCCGGTGCCTGAGCTCTGAGTAGGTTATCAAGAACTCAGAGGGGGCTGGGTCCTCTGAAGCCCGCTGTGAGATGAGAGGAGGCTGAGCCTTATCCAGGCCCTGCCTGTGGTACTTGGTGGTTAACCCTCCATGTGCTCCCAGATTGCCTCCCACATCCATTCTGTAGTGTTCATTCGTGTGACTGATATTAGGGATCAGAGTGGGAGCTGCTTCACTGGGGAGATCACATCTCTTACTTTCTCTGGCTCTTTCTCAAAATCCCAGCCAATAGGGTGTGCTCAGGAAATGCTGATCTGTAACGATTATGCATAAATTGCTCTTGTTAAGCCTCTCTGKACAGTTGGGGACTAGGCAGCAACAAACAGGAGAACGTGTTCGTTGATGGGAGGGATGTTAAGCTTTCAAAGGCCTAGTGAATTATGTCAGTTTCAGCCCCTGGACCAGCTGCTTTGGTAATTAGTGGGGGCCACAGGCAGTAGATGGAGACCACGAGGTGGGTTTTCAGGCAGGCCCAGAAGATGGGACCTGGCGGCTTTTCCTTTGGGAAATCCTGGTCTCTCTTGGCACTTGGCCTGCCCYGTGTCAGTTCTCATTTCCTCTTGGCCCAAGATCTCTGTGAGCAGGTTTCTAATCCCCCTCTCCAAGCCCTGAGTGCCTGTGGTAGCCCACCGTGGTTTGCTTTTTTCTTATCCATGGCTCTATTCATTGATTCCTCTTCCCAGCACCTCTTACCTCTTCTACTCCCCGAGTGCCTGTTCACCTAGGAAACCCAACTGTCACCTGTCCTGAGATTACTCTGCTTCCTTCCTTCCTTCCTTTTTTAATTTGTTTCTTAGAAAACCACATATATTTATCCTGTATTTTTTTTTTTTTGAGCATTCAAGACAGTGTCTTAATTGTCACAGTAGACATATCCAGGACTAAAAGGGTTTTCCAAGTTGTTATGATTTGCATTTTCCGGGCGAGGTGGGCAGGAAGATACTAGTGATTGAATTCAGGAGTTCTTGACCACTGAGCCAGCCCCCAGCCCTATTTTGTATTTTATTTAGAGACAGGGTCTCACTGAGTTACTTTTGCACCACACCTTTGCTGAGGCTGGCTTTGAACTCGTGATCCTCCTGCCTCAGCCTCCCGAGCCATTAGGATTACAGATGTGGGCCACTGCACCTGGCTCTTTCTTTTTATTTTCAATTAATTAATTTAGTTTTTTAGTCGTAGATGGACAGATGGATACAATACCTTTATTTTATTTATTTATTTGTATGTGATGCTGAGGATCAAACCCAGAGCTTCACACATGCCAGACATGTGTGGCTTCACCTCAGCCCCAAAGACTTTGGTCAAATCATCTATTGTCTCTGAACTAAGTAAGATCTCACCCCAAATTAGGGTCCCTAGAATCTATGTTACATTAGTTATAAGCCCCCTGATGGATCCAGGGGGGCCTGAG